TAGGTTATCTTGTTGGAAACACATTAATCGTTTATGAAGAGGGTGATAGATAATTTTAATTGAATTGTTATATTATAATATTATCTAATATTATATGATGTTTACATTCATAACTAGGACTCGCAACTTATAGAACCTGAAAAATGCAAAATATGCATATATAAGTAAATACGCACAACAAAATTGTAAAATTTGCTTGAACCAATTTTAAATATGCAAAAAAAATTAATAAAAATGCATACATAACAATTATTCAAACCACCCCATTATTAAATAATAAATATGCATATTATTCATATATAAAATCAAGAAATATGCCCTTTTTCCAAATATGTAAGTGAATCGCTAGTTATTTTCTTATTTTCAATAGATTCTCCGACAAAACAATTTGAACCATTCTTGCCATTATCTTATTATGTACATCTACTGAATATTATACATCATTCAATACAGTCTATGTGTCAGTTGATTTTGTACTGGTTTTTTCGAAAAACATTATTTAGTTGAGAATGCAAATTAAGGTTATCCACATTAATATGATTTTCACATTTTTGTAATGACCTTATATTATTTGAAATACAGGATTGTTGTATATCACAATTCTAGATAACCGTAGATTAAGGGTACAACCAAGCAGTGGCGTGTGGTACTTATTTTTGAGGCCAAGCGACATTTTCTATACCTATATAATATATTATCTATCCCACCCACCATCCTTTGATGATCAAATCAGCAAGGCTGGGCATTAACGAGTTAAAAGTTAAAATTAAGTTAAAACGTTAAGTTAATTTTAATTAAGTTAATTAACTCGTTACTTTTTTTACAAATTAACTTTTAACTTAATAAGTTACTTTTTTTTTAAGATTAACGTGTTAACTTTAAGTTAATTTTATTTAAAATTATCTAAATTAAGTTAATTTTAGTGCAAAGAAAAATGCAAATTATTAATGAGGTTTTTAGTATATTTTATGATTTACTATTTTAATATGAATTTCCTGTAGACGAAAATAATATGAAAAATAACTTTAATAGTCATTATATGGGCTATATAATATCTACCTACACGTTTATCATTATAAATTGTATTAATAATATTTTCAAAGATAGGTTATACAGATTATCGTTTAAATGGGTTCCCTGAAGTGGATGTCGAATGTTGTCGTGAACGTAATAATATAGTACAAAGTAATTATATTTTTACTGATAATAATTGTTCATGTTGTGCTGAGCCTAGGTTTTAAAACTACACGGTGGCTGCATTTTGTCCTCAGTATAGAAAATATATTTGGGTGGTAGGTACTGCCTGTTTGATTTTTAAAATTTATGTGAATCAATTAAAAATATTGGTATCTTGGCAGTTGGGAGAAAACTATTAAGGTGTTTTTTTTTTTTTTTTTTGATGTACCACTTGGGTAAATTGATTTGAGTATGAGTTCAGGACTAAGATTTATTTTGGAAAAGTCGGTTTTTTGATAGCTAATTAATACTTTTATGTCTCATTTAAAAAATTTCCCTAGTATTTTTCTTGAGTGTAAAAAAACTAATATTATGTGTGCAATTTTTTATTTTTGCAAAATAGAAAATTTTAACTTTAAACTAAGTTAAGTTACTTTTTTTTCAAAGTTAACTTTTAACTTAACGAGTTAACGTAAAAAATATGATTAACTTTTAATTTAACTTAACTTTATTATTTTAAAATAACTTAACTTAACGAGTTAAAAAAAATCGTTAACTTGCCCAGCCTTGCAAATCAGTATATACTTATTTTAGTTTTTTACATTTTATTTCAACTGAAATTATTATCATTCTATTATGTACAAGTAACTGAATATTTTTGAATACCTAGTATGAACAGAACCATTTCATTGTAACCATATAGGTAGTAAAGTATCTAATGATACAATTTTTATTTTTCATAAATTCATTAAATATACTATACGTCTATAGTCTATACTCTATACGCTATAGGTACTCGATCGCTGCCATTGATCGAAGACTACCAGTCAATTGAATTAACAAGTGATTTCTAAATAATTAATTTTTATTTTTAGTATAACAATATACACGAAACAAAATAATCCAGAAAATAGGTAATATATCTTGTAAATATTTACAACATAACAGGGTTACTATCTTCATCAATAACACAAAATAAACACAGGATAAGCACGAGATAAACACAGAATGAATACAGGATAAACACAGATTTTCCATCCACCAAATCTTATCTATACCTACTCGTCTCACTGAGTCTTAAATAAACAGAGTTTGAAATAATCTATCAAAAATAATTTCACGAATAAACTCAATTTAAATATTTAATAATTATTTACCAATCATATTATTCACAGACTACAGAAATTGTGCTTAGAACTTCAACATAATAAAAATGTGAACATATTTCTAACCACCTTTAAATGAAATAGATGTTCAAAATATAAAAAGATTTATGTTAATAGACTCTTTAGATTCACTTATTTGTTGTGCATACTTGTTTATTAAAGACACAATATATCAAATTAAAATGGTTTTTACTCTTGATGTATGTACCTAAATGAAAAGTTTCCTCGAGTTTGGTGTCATAGATAATATAATAAATATTATATACATTATCTTTATAATAATAAAGTAATCGTGTTCAAATGTTTTAAATTAAATATTAAAAATTTTTATAAATAATTTTGTTCTTATGAAGTTACACTTTAAAACAATGACATTTTCATATACATAAAAAAAAGGTGGGCAAGTGGGTGTCGCTCTGCTGTACAGTAGGTTACAAGTGGGTCACTGTATAATGGATGGTATTAAATTTGAATTCAATGATATAATATCATTGTATAAGAAAAACGATTCTGAGCGGTGACGGTATGTCAGTCTATGTATAAGACATATTATATACATATCTATGGTATTAAACAAAAAATTGACCTATAATAGGTACCTATAATAAATTCCAAATTAATCATATCACAATATCCGTTATAGATACTTATAACGCGTTATACATCAACAAAAACCGTGATACTATCATAGATATATAATAGTATACTTTAGAAGTTTCAAGTAAACTTTATACTTTATTCCACCAGTCACCTAAAAACCAAAACGAGTTAAAAAAAAGGTGGGCAAGTGGGTGTCGCTCTGATGTACAGTAGGTTACAAGTGGGTCACTGTATAATAATGGATGATATTAAATTTGAATTCAACGATATAATATCATTGTATAAGAAAAACGATTCTGAGCGGAGACGGTATGTCAGTCTATGTATAAGACATATTATATACATGTATATGGTATTAAACAAAAAATTGACCTATAATAGGTACCTATAATAAATTCCAAATTAATCATATCACAATATCCATTAGATACTTATAACGCGTTATACATCAACAAAAACCGTGATACTATCATAGATATATAATAGTACACTTTAGAAGTTTCAAGTACCCACGAATAATATTATTCAATCACAACAAAATAACTAAAATAGTTATTCTAGGTTTTTAATATGTAATTTCGTCCAAATTTGAATTTAAAATGTCTATAAAAAATAACTGTGTTTATATATTTTTTAGATTTTTTGGTTACAGTATGAATTATTTAAGAGAATCTTTGTTTTAAATTTTCAACTCTTAGTTATAAAAACTGAACATTTTATAATTTTTTAATTCCAACGATTGATAATTTTCGAGATTTTGAAAAATTCTGTCAAAATTCGATGTTAAAATGCTTATAAAAAAAAACTGTGCCTATGTATTTTTAATATTTTTCAACTGCTATTGTAACAATATATCAGGAGCCTTGTATTAAATTTTTACACTTTTTGGCCCAACAGATAAAACTTTATTGATATTTATAGAAAAAAAAACTAAAAAAAATTGAAAGCTTTAAATGTCCATAAACAGCTCAAAAAGAGTCAAAATATTTTCAAAATTGTATGGTGTATAGAAAATGCTAATTTAAACATTCAGTGAAATTTTCATGTATCTACAGTTATTCGTTTTTGAATTACAACAAAATAAGGAAATCACTACATGAGAAATCGAGTGAATATCCAATGTTGTAAAAATTTGAATTTCAAACGCTCATAAAAATTTAATTTGACTTTCCGGTAGAGATTTTTTTATTGATAAAGGTAGACAATCTTATGAGTAATCTTGTAATAGATTTTCAAATCTTAGATTTAAAAAGAAAAATTTTTACGAATTCTTAACTCAAAATAATTTGCTAATTTTCGTGATTTTTCCATATTTTGTCAATTTTTGAACTTTAAATGCTTATAAAAAAAAATTGTGACTAAGGATTTTTAATATTTTTCATCTGCCTTTGAAACAACTTATTAGGAGCCTTCTATTAAATTTTCAAGCTTTCGCAACCAACAAATAAAATTTTATTGAAATTTTTAGAAAAAAAACTAAAAAAAAATGGAAAATGAAAATGTCCCTAAACAGTTCAAAATAAATCAAAATATTTTGAAAATGTTATCGTGTATAGAAAATGCAAATATAAACAACCAGTGAAAATTTCATGTATATACGTTCATTTGTTTTAGAGTTACACCAATAACCAAAATCGATTTTTTGGAAAACCAATTTTGCGTAAAAATTCCCGTTTTTCCTTGATTTTTCTTTTGTTTTTCTTGCACTTTTGAAAACAACTGGGAATTTTAAATTTTGACCTCCTCAATGCACCAACGGTATTCACTTTCCAATCGAACAAGATACTGAAGTCAAAAATCGAAGCATTATTTCGACTACTTATCGTGTACACAGATACAAAAAAAAATAAATAAATAAATAAATAAACACACATCATTGTAAAATCAATACATTCATCGTTCCACTCAGAATCTAAAAGCTGCTAGTTCATTAGAAGTACAAATTTTGAAAATTGGTAGAATTTTGTCAGTTCGATGGGTAGCATCAAGCAAACGGACAGTTAATGCAGTCATAAATAATTGACTTCTGCTTTGTGTGAACATTTCAACTTGGCTTCAATGGACTCTACCAGAGACTCTAAAGAAAGAAGTAAATACTGTGGATTGTTTAAAATGATAACAAGTATAGAATTTGTTAGTAATTTAAATACCATGTCTGATGCCTTAGACGAATTAGGAGATTTATCAGAATACTTACAAAAACGTAGTTTTACATTAGTAGACGCTGGTAAATATAGAAGAACAACAATACGTGTATTAAATTCTATGGCAACTAATCCGGGTCCAAAATTATCTGACACATTAAAAGAAATAAAGAACAAAATGTCGTATAAAAATGTAATATTACACAGTGACAATGTTCCTAAGATAAATTCTGCACAATTTTACAAAAGCCTAGCTAATAAATTAAAATCTCGAATGATGACTACCAGTTCATCAAATGTCAGTCGTAATGAAAAAAATCGCAAAACAATGAAAAAACGTTTAAAAACTTACTTGATAATATTGAAAAATTGAATCCAAAAAATTGGCCACTTTCGAATGATGGCCAAATAGAAAACATACAATTTGGTGACTGCAATATTCGTAATTTATGTCAAAAATTTCAAATTGATGAAAAAAGCACTATTCAAAGTTTTAGAATTTATAAAATGGACTTGGGCAAAAAGGAAATTCCAGAAGATTTGAAACCCCTTTATAAATCAATTACAACGATTCCAGTATCGCTAGTGAATGTGAATGAAATTTTAGTTCTATGAAAGAAATCATGTCACCACAAAGAACTTCATTAAATATAAAAACTGTTGCTGCTCTTTTATTTATTAATTGTGTTGGACCACCTCTAACGAAATTCGAACCCGAACAATACGTTCGATCTTGGTTATTGAATGGTCGACTTTCAGCTGATGATACCGCAAGTCGTAAAAGAAACCAAAAATGTGATAAGACCTATGAATCACTGTGGAAGTTATTGTAAAAAAAAATGTATTGACGCTGTACTTTTTGAGTTATAAATATAGAATTTAAATAAAAAATAAAAAATTTTCTGAGTCCAATTAAGGTTCTTTACAACGTGTATCACTATTGTATTTATTTTAGAATGTTTGTCATTATAAATATTACAATTATAATATACTAGCTGAATATTCCGGCTTCTCCCGAGTGCAGTTTTTTTTGTGGAAAATCCTATATAGTATATAATTGTACACTATATACCTAATAGCCAATAGGTGTATCTCAGTTTTAGTGTAGGTACCTCAGATAAGGCAAACTTAGCTTTGTATAAAATAATTTGACCTAGATGGGAAACCGCATTTCATGGATTGGATTTAGTACTTGGTATATTTTTTAACATAGTTAACACTACTTACTCTCTAAAAATTTCTGACATCTCTAAAAACAATCTCTGTCAATTTTCGTCAAATTCGATTGAGCAGTTTTTGAGTATATTTGCTACACACATACATTTGTTTTTAAGATATAGTTTTATTTATTCGAAGCCATCATAAGAGCGAAAATTGTATGTACCTATGCTTGTACCTGATTCACCTGAGGGCTGAGTAACCAATGGCAACCGCTATATAAAAAAAAAAAAATAATACTAATTTCTACTATTTTTTTTCTGTATCATTGTTCATTGATACGACCTCAAGGTCATTGTCAATGCGATTATCACAAGTGGGTAGTAGGGGGATCATATGGTGATATATTTATATATGTATATGTCTATGCATGATACTAATACGGTGGCCAATAGAGGTGGCTAATAGAGGAGACATGTGCGGTCTTGAATGAGTGAGTGAGTGAGTGGTATTTGGCATAGATAAATAGATTATCATAATAGAATAGGTATAATAATATCATGAATGAAAATTTGTTTATGTTATTTTTTTTCTTCATTATTATAATTGTAAGTAGCTAGTGCCTATAGTATATGTATATCCCAACGCTTCAACGTATAATAATATAATATTTTTTCCTTATAATGTGGGTATCTTCAGCGTTGGTTTACGTTACAATAATAAGGCCCAAAGTTTGTTAATGATGTTTGTAGCAATTCGTTCTAGACTTTTCCGTAAATGTATGTATAGTATCGCTGCTCTCTATGTTTCTATAGCTATAGTTCTATTTAAGTTCTAATGTAGGTATGTTAAGTATTTATAATTATTATTCTTCCTTGCCAGTGTAATGGTCCCAGATCAGCATGTGTCGATTTATGGCTATACCTTATTAGTTATTACCTTACTTATTATAAGTAGGTACTAATAATATGTACTATATTTTTCTCGAAAGTGTCATTAGTGGGTTGCTTCTTTCCCCAAATTACGTAACATATACATTATACTTATTATGTCTTAGATACAGATTGTATATATTCTTCTAAAAATAAAACTATATTTTACCATTTCTACCTATTTGCATATCCTTTCGATCCGATCCCCACTCACCACTATGTTTTTCTAAATCATAACATGTAATTAATTGTTATATTTAATTTATCTTATTGTTTGAGATGGATTGCCAATTTTGACAGATTAAGTACACGACATAATTCCTTTAACTTTTAAGATATTGCAATTATATTTGTAATCTAAGATAATATTCTACAATTCACGTAACTACAATCATACCTAACATGTGAGTTGTTAGTACAATTATTTATGCAATGCAGTCGTGTACCTATTATAATTTATGTTGTCTCAATAACGTTGTTAAAGTCAAAGTGACATATGAATAAGCATAACATAAAGCAAAAAACTATTGAAGGTGGCATTGTCTGGGACGGACAATGAAATTTCATACAGTCCGACAATGTGGGTATAATTTTGCTTATACATGGTTATATTGCTTGTAAGGCCGTAACATGTTATATAGAGAAGAATTTAATAAATATGTCTTATGAATAGTATACATAGTATAGTGTATACTTTATCCACAATCAACTAATATTACGCTTCAAAAAACATGTCACCTCAAAATCAAATATTAGGAGGTAAAATAATAATATTATATAGAAAGGTGGGCAAGTGGGTGTCGCTCTGATGTACAGTAGGTTACAAGTGGGTCACTGTATAATAATGGATGATATTAAATTTGAATTCAACGATATAATATCATTGTATAAGAAAAACGATTCTGAGTGGAGACGGTATGTCAGTCTATGTATAAGACATAGGTATTATATATATACTTATCTATGGTATTAAACAAAAAATTGACCTATAATGGGTACCTATAATAAATTCCAAATTAATCATATCAAAATATCCATTAGGTACTTATAACGCGTTATACATCAACAAAAACCGTGATACTATCATAGATATATAATAGTACACTTTAGAAGTTTCAAGTATCCACGAATAATATTATTCAATCACAACAAAATAACTAAAATAGTTATTCTAGGTTTTATATATGTAATTTCGTCCAAATTTGAATTTAAAATGTCTGTAAAAAATAACTGTGTTCATATATTTTTTAGATTTTTTGGTTACAGTTTGAACTATTTGCGAGAACCTTTGTGTTGAATTTGCAATCCTTAGCTATAAAAACTGAACATTTTATAATTTATTAATTACAATGATTGATAATTTTCGAGATTTTGATAAATTTTGTCAAAATTTGATCTTTAAATGCTTATAAAAAAAAACTGTGCCTATGTATTTTTAATATTTTTCAACTGCTATTGTAACAATATATCAGGAGCCTTGTATTAAATTTTTACACTTTTTGGCCCAACAGATAAAACTTTATTGATATTTATAGAAAAAAAAAACTAAAAAATTGAAAACTGAAAATGTCTGTAAACGGCTCAAAAAGAGTCAAAATATTTTCAAAATTGTATGGTGTATAGGAAATGCTAATATAAACATTCAGTGAAATTTTCATGTATCTACAGTTATTTGTTTTTGAATTACAACAAAATAAGGAAATCGCTACATGGGAAATCGAGTGAATATTCAATGTTGTAAAAATTTGAATTTCAAACGCTCATAAAAATTTAATTTGACTTTCTTATAGACATTTTTCTTTTGATAAAGGTAGACAAACTTATAAGGAATCTTGTGTTTAATTTTCAAATCTTAGATTTAAAAAGAAAAATTTTTACGAATTCTTAACTCTAAATAATTTGCTAATTTTCGTGATTTTCCAATATTTTGTCAATTTTTGAATTTTAAATGCTTATAAAAAAAAATTGTGACTAAAGATTTTTAATATTTTTCATCTGCCTTTGAAACAATATATTAGGAGCCTTCTATTAAATTTTCAAGCAATAGCAACCAACAAATAAAATTTTATTGATATTTTTAGAAAAAAAACTAAAAAAAAATGGAAAATGAAAATGTCCCTAAACAGTTCAAAATAAATCAAAATATTTTGGTTTTCGTGTATAGAAAATGCAAATATAAACAACCAGTGAAAATTTCATGTATATACGTTCATTTGTTTCAGAATTACACCAAAAACCAAAATCGATTTTTTGGAAAACCAATTTTACGTAAAAATTCCCGTTTTTCCTTAATTTGTATGTTGTTTTTTCCGGCGCTTGTGAAAACTACTGGGAAATTTATACTTTTGACCCCCCAAAGTACCAACCAGATTCACTTTCCTATCAGAAAAGCTACTGATGAAGAAAATCCAAGCACTTTTACTGTCCTAAAACGTGATGACAGACACAAAAAAAAATAAAAAATAAAAAAAAAAAAAAAATAAAAAAACACACATCATTGTAAAATCAATACATTCATCGTTTCACTCAGAATCTAAAATGTTATTTAGAATAATACCTATATCAAAAATAATGTGACATTTTATATTAGATTCTGAGTGAAACGATGAATGTATTGATTTTACAATGATGTGTGTTTTTTTATTTTTTTTTTATTTTTTTTTGTGTCTGTCATCACGTTTTGGGACAGTAAAAGTGCTTCGATTTTCTTCAATAGTACCTTTTCTGATAGGAAAGTGAATCTAGTTGGTACTTTGGGGGGTCAAAAGTAAACATTTTCCAGTAGTATTCACAAGCGCCGGGAAAAAACAACATAAAAATTAAGGAAAAACGGGAATTTTTACGCAAAATCGATTTTCCAAAAAATCGAATTTGGTTTTTGGTGTAACTCTAAAACAAATGAACGTATATACATGAAATTATCACTGGTTGTTCATATTTGCATTTTCTATACACGATAACATTTTCAAAATATTTTGATTTATTTTGAACTGTTTAGGGACATTTTCATTTTTCATTTTTTTTTAGTTTTTTTTTTAGAAATATCAATAAAATTTTATTTGTTGGTTGCGAAAGCTTGAAAATTTAATAGAAGGCTCCTAATATATTGTTTCAAAGGCAGATGAAAAATATTAAAAATCCTTAGTCACAATTTTTTTTTATAAGCATTTAAAGTTCAAAAATTGACAAAATATGGAAAAATCACGAAAATTAGCAAATTATTTTGAGTTAAGAATTCGTAAAAATTTTTCTTTTTAAATCTAAGATTTGAAAATGAAACACAAGATTCCTTATAAGATTATCTACCTTTATCAATAAAAAAATCTCTACCGGACAGTCAAATTAAATTTTTATGAGCGTTTGAAATTCAAATTTTTACAACATTGGATTTTCACTCGATTACTCATGTAGCGATTTCCTTATTTTGTTGCAATTCAAAAACGAACAACTGTAGATACATGAAAATTTCACTGAATGTTTAAATTAGCATTTTCTATACACCATACAACTTTGAAAATATTTTGACTCTTTTTGAGCTGTTTATGGACATTTTCAGTTTTCAATTTTTTTTAGTTTTTTTTTCTATAAATATCAATAAAGTTTTATCTGTTGGGCCAAAAAGTGTAAAAATTTAATACAAGGCTCTTGATATATTGTTACAATATCAGTTGAAAAATATTAAAAATACATAGGCACGATTTTTTTTTAAAAGCATTTAAAGTTGGAATTTTGACAAAATTTAT